AGGACTCAGCCAGTTCTTCTGCTCAAATCCCGGGTGACTTCAGAATAGGATATGGCATCTTAGGCCAGTTGGACTATTAGATCCTTTCTCTGCTGATCACTATGGGATCAGTAGGAAAGAGATGCTCCCTATGACTGAGATCCAACAGTCCTTAGTATCTTCAGTGACCATAAGGAAGAATTAGCAAGGGCTAAGAAACATTCTTGGCCACAGAACAGTCGCAGTAACCAATCACTGAACTCTGTAGTAGTCTACATGCTGAGTTTCTGTCCACAAAACAAAAACTGAAGAAGAAAATACTCTGACTCACAGTGCCTGGTCTAGAATAATGTAGAATATAGAACCACAAATACTTATTTCTACCCCTATATCATCTGTTAAATGACAGGTTGGATGAATGGAAGATTGCTGAAGTCTTTTCCAGCTCTAACATATAAGATCATGGGGAGGAGGGGGTCTGAAGATCAGGAGCATTCACCTACTGATGGGGTTTTAATTCTGATTTATGGAGTAACTGTAAGCTGATGTTGCCCTAGATTAAACTTAATAAAAAGGATCTTCAGCAATCTTAGCATTGATACTTTGGTACACCTATAACAACCTCTCCTCCCTGTAATGCTCTCTCTTTCTCCCTCTGTGTACACTTCTGGTCTTGTCTGTCTGTCTTTTGATCTCTCTGCCACACAAATATATATACAATCAGAAATGTGTGCAAACCAGTGACAGAGAGAAACACACTGGGATGGGTTAGGCCCAAGGTCTACTCTGTCCTGTAATAGATTTTGACTGCAGAGCAGAGGTCACTGCTTAAACAGTACCCCCTTGAAAATAGTTGTAGGGTGAGAACAAGCGACCAAGAGCAGCCAGTGACAAAATGATCTGAGTTGACCTAAGAGGAGTACCCAGCAGGGGCTGATTCAGGGAAATGAAGTCCCTTCTGCTCTGACGCAGAAGAGGGAATATGAGTGACCTGGCCTAACTGAGAGATCTCTTCCACTCCAACAGATCCTGTACTATTAATATCTGCCAGCTGCAGGCCCAGAGCATCCCCCTGCTGAGATCAAAAGCGCCCCTATCTTAACTGGAACAAGGTCATCTGCACAGGGCTGTAAATGAGAGCCCTGGCTGGCTGCAGGGATGTCTATGGGGGAGGAGAAGTCAGGAGATGGGAGGTGCTCTCTCACGCTCCTTTAATCTCGGCTGACCAGCTGTTGCCCTCCCAGTGTTTGTAAAGTTGAGAGTTCTTTGTTTTTCTGTTGCAGCTCCCCACCACTCCCCACCCCTTATTAAATTTGTGGCTGGGTTGTTGCTTGGATTAAGAAGACCCACGTTCACTGCTTAAGATCATGGTATAATTCCCTTCATTGAGGTTTCATTCCACTATTGAGTTACACAGCTCCCAGGTAGGAGAGCCAAAGAAGGGAGAAGTGGACCCCAAAGGCCAAGGACTTTCCCAATATTGCTCCTGCTCCAGACCTTTGTGCCTTAAATTTTCCCTGTTTAGTTAAAATAATACATCATATGTGCAGTGCCAATTTGCAGCCTGCCCTTCACAAACTATCCCATTCATTTGGGAGAATGGAACTTTCAGGACTTATGCAAATTGACCAAAGTTACAAAATCACTCCCATCCCAGTGTGCCCAATGTGTTTTCTCCCTCACTGGTTTGCACACATTTCTTTCTTTTTCCTTTTTGGAGACAGTCTCACTCTGTTGCCCTGAGTAGAGTGCATTAGCATCATGGTAGTTCACGGCAACCTCAACTCCTGACTCAAATGATCCCCTTATCTCAGCCTCCCAAGTATCTGGAACTACAGGTGCTTGCCATTATGCACCGCTAATTTTTCTATATTTAGTAGAGACAGGGGTCTCATTCTTGCTCAGGCTAGTCTTGAACTCCTGAACTCAAGCAATCCTCCCATCTCAGCCTCCTAGAGTGCTAGGATTACAGGCATGAGCCACCAAGCCCAGCCTGCACACATTTCTGTAACAGGTATACCAAGTACCAGTGCTAAGATTTCCAAAGATCCTTTTTACTAAGTTTAATCTTAGGGCAACATCAGCTCACGGTCATTCTTCCCACTCTGTAAGTCAGAATTAAAACCCCACCAATGGTAAATGCTCCAGATCTTCAGACCCCACCCGCCCCCCACCATGATCTTATATGTTGGAGCTGGAAAAGACTTCAGAAATCTTCTATTCATCCAATCTGTCATTTAACAGAAGAAGAAACTGAGCCTAAAGTGATCAAAAGACCTGCCTAAGATACAGTTAATAATACAATGGCAAAGCTGATACAACAAATGCTTAAAACAACAACAAAGCAACACATGTATATATGACAAATATATGCTATTAATCATAGCAACTTAACAACCATTGCAATGTATTCGAATAGGTATAAATGTTCTAAGAAATTTTTACATTTTAATTTACTGGTGAGAAGCTTCATTATAGACTTTAAGAAAAAGATTTCTACAGCCTCTTTACCCGCTCAGCTATACAAGAAAAAGATCTAGAAAAACCAATTGTTTCCATTCTCCTTTGGATTTCGGAATAAGGCAAAGTTGTCTAAGGATAAGCTGGTAACTCTCCTTTTGCTATGGACACAAGTTTACCATTTTCTTGTAGTAGTTGCACTAGAACCCCAAAGCAATTTCTTTTGTATGTGTTTTGTTCCTCATCTTTGCTTAAGATATACCAGAAGCCAAGGCAAAGAAAAGTATTATTACTTATTGGTTTTCAAACAAGGAAGCAAGATATTCTCTTCTGTCTCCTCGGAGCTAACTATGTGTGTGTTTTTGTGTGTGTGTGTGTAATAATTTTTTTATTTCAAAATATTAAGGGGGTACAAATATTTTATGTTATATAGATGGATCGTTTCTTAGTGCTTGAGTACTGGCTATAGGTGTGCCCATCATCCAAATAGTGTTCACAGACCCGTCAGGCTGCTTTATTCCCCTTCTCCCACCCCATGTGTGTAATAATCATAACAAGTTTTAACGCTGTTCATGGGTTCTTTATGTGATTCTTATGATCTCTGTTCTTCTGAAGTATTTACTATGATACTCGTTCAGCACTTATTTACTGCCCACTATGTGCCTAGAACTCTGCTAGTCACTGAGGCACAACATGGATACAACGAGAATATGACATAGTCTGTATCCTTAAAAATATGCCAACTTAGTCAGAAAAACATGAAAGGTTGAATTGATTTTTCTAGACTTTTTCTTTGTATAGCTGAGCAGGTAGAGAGGACTCAGAGGAGAGAGAGAACGAGACAAGGAAGTTTCGTGGAAGAGGTAGTCTTTAAATAACCCTTGAAGGAGTGGATTTGGGAAGAGAAGAAGCAGTAGAAGTGAAAAAGAAAAACACTATTCTAGATAGGGTGAGCTGTCTCTGCAGAGGCATGGAGCCAAGAGTGAGGAGGGACAGGCAGAAGATAGGCACACTTGGTACGGGAGCATCACATAAGGTACTGGCAGAAACCAAGGTTGAATAGGAAAGAAAGGACAGACTCTGAAGGGTTAAGAGGCATTAACTCTATCTAGTGGTGTTCTGGAAACCGGTCCACCCAAAAAAAAAATTTTTTTTTTGATTTTTAGCATTCACTAATTTCCATGGTGTAAATACTTTCACCCTGGCTGATTTCAAGCTAAGGAATCCCTGAATATTTTTAAATCAGCTTACTGATTTTAGCCCATTCTCAGAAAAAACAATTCCCAGATTTCTGAGTAGGAGAGTGACACAGTAGAAAGAAGTCGGGCTTAGGAGGTGTAATTTAGCAATGGCAGAATGGAAATGGCAGAGGCTAGAGTTGGGAAGGCCATTCTGGATTTTATTAAAATAATCCAATGGGGAGTTAATAAGTCAGCTGATCACAACACAAATTACAAAAAAGAGGGACAGAGGAAAGATGTATGTGCAAAGAACTAAAGACTTGATGATGAATGAAGTTTGAGGAGGATGAAGTTGAGGAGAATCTAGATGATTCCAGTTTTTAGCCCAGTTGATGGGGGGGGATGATAACATATCACTGAATGTAGAAAGAGGGTACACAAAGCATTTTAATAAATGTCATTCGTTTTCACACTGAAAGACACCACCAAGAAGCAGAAGCGTGGTTCTTGCAGTTTCTGAGACCAAAAACCAGGGCTGATCCGCAGAAGACTGCCTGGGCAGTCAGTCAGGAGCTGTGCTAGGCCTAAAAGTCCCCTATATTCCATCATGAACAATTTTTAGAAAGTGGAAAGGGAAGAGAGGCCTGGAAGAGCTATGCACGTCTACCCAGGCCCCTAGCATTCTGCCTGAAAGCAATTAGACTACAATGAGAAGAAGTCAGAAATGTCAAGTAAGAACTTTCAATAAAACTAGAAACCACGCTCTGGCTTGCTGGTGTAATTCCCCCAGCTGCATAAAGCTTATTGCTATCAAAACCATAGCCAGCCTGACCTTTGCTAGCAGGGGATGGTGGAGAAAATTTTGCAGATTTACCAATGTGGAGATTTTTTCTTAATCTTTCTGTAAAGCTGATCAGGAATGCCATATCTCCAGCACATGAAACTGGGGTCCACTTTTAGTCAGTCCCAAGGAACTCTGCACAAACAAAGAGCTAAATTGCTAAATTCCCAGATTTCTGAGTAGGAGAGTGACACAGTAGAAAGAAGTCGGGAACCACTGGTAAAGCCAACCTTTGAGCATCAGTCTCAAAAACAAAGTCATTTAGCAGTTCACCAGCCCTCATACTAAGGACCTGAAACAATCCACAGAGGATTGACAAGTCTTCAGACGGAGCTCATTTATAGAGACAGGGCAAGAGACTCTCCAAATATAAGAGATCAGATGCTGGTAAAGGCGGCCAAGCCTAAATCACCAGGCTCCAGCTGGGTTCACTGGCCAGGGCCTATTAGCCATGCCTCCCAGCTCTCAACAGGAGGCAGAGAGGCAGTGGAGCTGTATGTCAGTGTCAAGTTTCAGCCTCTCTAGGATAGATCTCTTACCTTCAGACAGGGACAAATCATCAGCTGGAGACACCAGGTCTGCCTGAGAAGCCAGGGCTCCACTCAGATGGGTTGTAATTTGATTCGTCAAGATAACCTGTGAACAGACAGGGCGAAGGGAGCGGGAGGGAGAAGAGAAAGAGAGAAGACCAAATTAATTATTAGAGCTATCAAAAAGCAGACTGTGGTTTTAGGAGAAGACTGATAAATACATAGGTAGGAAAACCCAAGCTCTGACTTTCACCAACTTTATCGTTAGGCCAGAATATCTGGCAAGGCCTATCGGTCATTCAAAACTCAGAAAACCAAGGAAATAGGCTGACTTTTTTTGAGAGCTTAAAACAGTAATCAATTCTTTCTAAATGCTGAGTAAATTGGGACTGAGAGGTGTTACCATATTAGCTAAATAATAGAAAGCTAACCACAATTAAGATGCACACATACACAATTTATCAGACTTTAATTTTTAAAATTATATCCAAAACCTAAGATACTGCTGGTGCTGACTAAAAGTAATAACTTAAAATTTGGATATCTGTGGCTTCTTCACTTATTAACTCAAAAGTCAGAGTTTTATTTACAAATGTATAAAACAGGAATAAGATTCATCTCTAAAGAAATAACATTCTTCTTTTAAATTAGTTAAATTCTAACCAAAGTCCAAAGTCTCACTAAGAATTTAAAACACAAATTAACATCCTACCTATACAAAATAAGGTTCATAACATTTTAAATTTCTGGAAAGGCCTCTAAAACTACCTAATTTACATGGTCCACACAATATTTTCACATTTAGTACAGTTAAGAAACTATTCTTTTCCTAAACAATTCTCATTCATAAAATCTACCTTATTGTTTAGAAACTTAAAGGAAGAATAAATACGATTAACTTCTGGAAAATTATAACATGGTTAACACCACAATCATTTTCCGAGGTTTGGGTGTTCCCATCGTGGGTAGAAACTGCAAGCATCTTGGGTACTCAGAGGAAACGTCCCTTCTGAAAAGGGCACAGGCATTTGGTGCACAATTCAGTGCTTGAAATATGCATCTAGCCAGACTGTGTTGGTCTGAACCAAGAGCCAGCTACGGTTTTGTTGTCACCCTGATTTGAACAGAAATGAAAATCGTCTCCATTTTTTATTATCCAGCTTTTCAGCCACACCTCTGCCACTGTCTCTTGAATGGACCAGTGACACATTATAAATCCTGTACCAATGGCAGCTTAATTGAGGGCTGGGAGAGGAGAAGGATGGTAAGGTCAGGTAAAGAAACGAAGTACTCTATTAGCAAAGACAACATTTTAAGTTCTTTGTGTGTCCACTGGGCTCGTGAGTCTCCAGTTACTCTGCAGCGATGATTGGATATTGCAGGATTCCACTCAGTATTTGCTAATCTTATCCCTCATATTCTTTTTGTACTGCTACTTTTCATCTGGACCGATAAGAATCACATCAGATATGTCTCCAATTAAAATGGCTGGAAATGGTCAAGTAGCCTGCTCTTTTAAGAAACTGTTCATGTACAAGAGTATGAATAAGGACTTATGTACATTTCTCTCCTTATACTATAGGGTAGCTTTGGAGTTCACATAAGACCGGGTTCACATTCTGACTGTGACACTGTGTACCTTTGGGCTTCATTTATTCATAAGTAAAATAACATCTATCTTTTTAGAATTGTTATGAGAATTAAATGTGGTAATCAATGTAAGGTATTTAACATAGTGCCTGGCACACAGTAAATATTCAATAAATGGAAGCCATTGTTGTTATTGTTATTATTGTTATGATGACATATAGCTTAATAAATTAGTATATGCCACATGCTTCAGATAATGGGTTCTAATAATAGAACACTAAATCACAATTTTCTACATCAGCATATACTTTGGTACTTAATCATTTCCACCAATTTTAGTCCTTCCAAAATTTTATTTAATTGCAAAGAATTTGTGTAAAAATCTTAGTAAGAAAAGGTTAGTCATTATTTAAAGCAAGGCCAGTAAGATACTGACATTTCTCTGAAAATACTATGTGTTTTGTCTAGCGATGAACAAGACAATAATCTCTGTCCTAGTAAAAAATAATTATGAAACTTCTGAAAGATCTAAATATGTTAGCTCTAATTTTTATGTGATTCTTCTAAATGATGGCCTGGTGAAAATGACTAGAACTCCAATGATACGGTAAGAGCAACAAGAAAAAAAAAAATTACTGAACACCTACCATGCAAAGCATGTCACCATACACATGGGGAAAATCAAGAGGTAAAGGCACTGTATGTCTTCTCTAGAAACTTATTAAATTAAATAAGGCATTGACTAAAATATTTAGACCACTCTTTCTCAATTTTAATATTATTTCACTGGTCCTATAATGGAAACTTATACTGAGATGATGGTTTTATTGTACAGAACTAATGAAATGATAACCTGTAGAACCTAAAACCAAACCACAGACGTACTTCAAAAGATACCCACCCTCGTTTCCACTTCTGATGAATGAGTAGATGGGGAAGAAAACATTTTCACTCCCCAATGGCAAATGAACAAACTCGTAACTAGTTTTGCCAATAATCTCCCTTTTCATTATAAGTCTTGAAACCAAATCACCGATGGGATACACAGCAACCAAGCTCAGGGGATTGCTAATCATGTCATCTTACTGAATTGTTGTGGTTTTCTAAATTCGTGTTCAGCAAAATGATAGAGTGAAAATATTTCCAAAAGCATCAATTATAAATAATCACGACTTGGGCAGAAGCTTATAGATGTGTTTTCCTCTGAGGCAACCAGGACGCTTGAAAACTGTACTCATAAAATAACTTATAAAATACAAGTTACAAAAAGAGTCTTAATACTACCTGGTTTCCAAAAATTAATTCTGACAGACACTTCACAGGGGCTTTCCTGCTGCTTTGCTCCATTGGGAAGATTGAAGCTTCTGATGCTGGGTACTAAATTTGTGCAAGAGCAACTTACACAGTGCTAAGGACAAGGGCTTTGGAATCAGACCTGAGTTCAGATCTTGGGCTTTACCATGCACTAGCTGTGTGACATTGGGCAAGTTTCATAATCTCTCTGGGAATGATAATACTTAACTCACAGGGTTTCGAGGATTAAACTGGATAACGCGTATAAAGTCCTTAGCACAGTACCCGGCCTATGGTAAATGTTACTCCCATCATCATTAGTGATCCTTTGCTGATTTGTACCTTGCTTATTTGCATAGAAAACCCATGCCTGATTTCTTTTTGTACAGCACATAGCCCACTGGAGACAAAGAACAAATATTTGCTATTTATATGTTCAAAAGCAATAAAATTTTAACTGAAAGTACATCTGCTATTTTTGCCATTTCCCTAAAAGTATACCTTCTGAAAACATACAACATACCATCATTACCACCAACTACAATCCAAAGGCCAGAATGGGACTCTCGGACAAAAGGAAAGATATATATTTTTTTAATGGCATGGTTACATCTGAAGCCAGGAGTAGAATCCAGGTTAAAGCTTACTTTTCAGGAAGAACAGTATCCACCCACTGAGGGGAACAAGAAGCCCTGTAAATTGTAAAAAGTAACTACTGTCTCTACTCAACTTTATATATGGAGAGACCACTTACTCCCAAATCTTCCTTGCATTGCCTTCTTGGCTATAGGATGCTTAAAGAGGTACACTGTAATACAAAGAGTCCCTTATATAATGTTACATAGACCTTGAGTCCAATTTTTAATACTTTTCCCCAAGGCAAAATGGGGGGATTTCTCTCTTCAAAAACCATGCCCCAGAATTCCCAGTTTTCCCTCACATTATCTACCTTCTCTAAATGCGTCCTATTCAACCCTTCTGTGTACTGTGGTCCAACACCTACGCTCAGCTTAAGGCAACAATTAAGATCTCTAAAAAAGAAGGAAATTCAGGGTATAGATTCATAAGCATAGGTCCTGCTTTCACAGAGAACAGGACTGTTAAGCTGGAGAAAAGAGAAGGAGGGACAGGAACCAGTTAAAAATGAGATGAACTGGTAAAGCAGATGGCTAGAAATCAATGTGGTTTTGGTCAGAAGGCAGAGAGTCCTGGGCATGAAAACCAACACACATACAAACAAAAATATATGACTCATTTCCACTAAGTATTAAAAAACTAGTGTAAGACAGCCAATACCTTGAGATAATAGAGTAGAAAGAGAATGAGCTGGTCATTAGCCCTAAGGGTTAGGGGACTGGACAAATTGAGCCTGACTCTCTGCAGGTCTATGTGTCCAGTGCAGACCATCTGCCTTCACCTGACCCATCTTTGTTCGGCTAGGCTGTGACCAGACTACACCTGGCTACACACCCTACCACCCTACCACACCTTACTCAAGCTTACTGCTCCTGGTCCAGAATACATTCTGCCTTAAGGGGCCACTATATATATCTATATCTAGTCTGTTCCACCCTACACCAAAGGATTAGAAATATCTTTGTAGGGGCCTCCATGAGTAGCCATTTTGTACACTGGGGCCTACCATGAGTTTTGTAATATAGTGCACAGAGAGAAAATGGGACAGCCCTGGAGAAATTAGAACAGAGAATTGCTAGGCCTGAGGGAGTTTGTGGTCAACCAGGGATAGAATAGTTTAGAATGTGATATCTGGCTGTGTTTGGTCAGCAGACGAGATATTCATGATCAGTAAAACAATAACTCAGTATTTATAAGTCAGATTTTTTTTAAAGACCCAAGAATATGACAAATGCCATCATTTATCTTTCTGTAGGGGCAAGTGACAGGCAAATTTTGTAATCCCTACCTTCCACCAAGTGAACTAGAGTCACCTGCCTGAGATCACTAGTACGGATGAGAAGAGGGCCATGCAGGCCTCCCTGCCTACTCTCCTTGCTAAGGCAACATGGGGTAGAGTAGAGGACAGAGCACCTATTATCCCAGACCCACTGACAGGTGACTTCTCCAGGTCTTAATGTCCTGGTCTAGAGAATTCAATCTAAAAGTAATGAACAAAGGGAACTCATGTCCAGAAATACACTGAAAGATGGTCAAAATGCTACATTGTAACAAACCCAGTCTTGTGACAAGAGTCCTTCCACCAAG